ACACAGATGACATCACCCAAGCCCCCATGTCCACAGAAAAGGAAGCTATCACCCCCCTGAAGGCCGCTGGCGCTCGGGGAGACCCACACACGTGACTTTCCACAGTTAAAGCTGATGACACCGTTCTGTTCCCTGGCCATAGAAATATCTCCCAAGACTTGTTTGATTCTGAAAGTTGAAAACAGCAAACCTCTTTACACTTTAAATATGCGCAGTTTATTATACGTCACTGATAACTCCATAAAGTTATTTTAAAAGAATGAGTATACTTAACAATTAGGCCACCCTACATCTGCTCAAAGTGAGCCAAAGGAATAGTGTCAAGCAGGTGAAAATTCACGTCAGAACGTATCAAGGAGATAATCCGTAGAGGCTCCAGGATCTAATCCACAGAGTATGGCCACCTTTATTTTAGACTGGAAAATTCTAAACTAGGCATAACCAAAGAGTCACCCAGCTTCATTAAAAAACAATCTCCCTAAAGTCACCGGAGAGACCCTGTGCTTTGAGGATGGTGGGGTCCGGATGTATCACTAAGATAAACCGATGAGAAAATACGTGGCTGGGTAGTGAACGCTGGGCGTTCTAGCTGAAAAATGTCAAAGTTGGCCACATCTGAAACCAGTTCATTCCTGATGTCGGCTCAAAAGGTCCTTGGGTTGCTCACTCATTCATTCAACCCATGTTTACTGAGCGTCAACCAGGGGGAAGTGACACATGGGGACCTCGGGAGAGCGGGTGAACCAGACAAGATGCTGACCCTGGGAGCTCACGTTCCATGCAGGGCAGACACTGGGAGACAGTAACATCCACAGATGAGACAGCTACAGGTGACAAGATGCGGTGGAGTGATTACGATGACAGCGGTGGTGACGTAGTCCCCCCTGCACACCTCTCACTAGTTGCAGGCAGCGCACAGCACCGCTGGACGACCTCACCCTGGGGGCTCTACTACTTTACACATGAGGCGACCAGTCATGCCACAATCACCGGTCCAGCCAAGACTGGCATCTAGGCCGTCTGGGCTCCAAGCCCAAGGTTTTCCAGGATCACAGCACCTGGTGGGTGAGGCAAAGCAGGTGGAAGAGGAAGAACCTCTTTAGACGAGGTGGTGAGGGCAGGTGCGCCCACAGAGGTGACATCGGGGCAGCGATCTAACCCGACGATGCAGCCCTTCCTTCCGGCAGTTAACTCCAGAGCCAGACAGCTGCCTACCAGGCCACGCCCACCTCACCCCACCTGCACACGAGGAGCGCTCACTTTTACATTCTATCTGCAGCAGAGCTGCTAAACAATTTTTTTTTGTTGAAAAAAACTGGATAAGTGATAGTTTACATGAATGACTAAGAATCAAAATATTGTACGACACATTTAATAAAAATGTATAGCTCATAAGCCTACAATACACAACAATGTTTGCAAAATCATCCAAAATGCCATATTCAGCACTTACTTCATTCAAACTTTGGGCTTGCTAGGAATTATGTCATCTTTGTCCAAATGACCAGGAAATGTGAATGAGTCAGTTCTGAATTAATGAGGGTGTTAAAATCGTTCGGTTTTGGAGAAGCCTGATATTTCTGAACAACAACAGAAAAATAGCAAGCTACTGATTCCTTTTTAAAAGCGCACTCACTCCTTGACAAATACACCCTTTTACACATATCCTGACACGGTGTCTCCAAGAGTCCCCTGGGTCCCCGAGAAACATCTATCTTCCCTACAGAACAGAACCCACAGCCTCGGGGCTCTGATGGGAGAGTCTCCAGGGGAGCGTGATGGTGATCAAGGCAGGAGACCCCTCATCTTCACAGAGACCCGAGGGGCAGAATTCAAGGGCGTTCACGTGGCCGTTCTCTCCCCAGCCACCACCAGCCAGACTCTCCTTCTCTGCTCAAACCCTGAAGAATCTGGTACTTCAGTCGGAGGTCATTTGCCGGCAAGTCACCGTTTTCTCACCTCCTGTGATACAGGTGGGGAGCCCGCTGCACAGTCCTGGTGCTGGAGGGGAAGGCGGAAGGGAGGTGGGGAGCAGGGATGGGGCGAGCACAGCACCCCAGCATTGCCTCTCATGCCCTGGGTCCCCCGACTGAGCTCTCTGCTCAGCCACCACTGACACTCAGCTCCCAACTCGAACCCAGAGGTCCTGCTCCAGGCCTGCATCCCACTCCCTAGTCCATCCTGCTCAGAGTTTCTGCCCCAGGCAAGTTCCGTGGGCATCCCCATGAACCAGCCACCCAGCAGGAGTCGGGGTTCCAGCTTCTGCTGTGACAAGCCCAGATGCCACTCTGCAGACTCAGTTCTGAACTCACTTCCTCACAAGACATGGCGCTGAGATTCTCTTACAGGACCACTGCTATCCTCTGGGTCATGGTCCGATCTGAGCTCCAAACCACGGTGCACAGGGCCTCAGGCCCTCTGAGACACACCATCACACACAACCTTCTCACACCTTGGGGGGTAACAGTCTGGGGGAGCAGCACCGTGAAAAAAGCAAAAGCAGGGCCTCCCTGGTGGCGCAGTGGTTGAGAGTCCGCCTGCCGATGCAGGGGAC